CTCTTTTAAAATAGACATTCTTACTGCTTCCAGTTACCAACTCCCTCCCACGAGTTTATGGGTTTCCCAACCCCCGCAACACATCTTATCATGCCAGATCTTCCAACAACACACATATGTTCACCTACCAGGCCATACAGCTTGGTATGTGAAGGGGGCGTCACCCCCGCTACTCCCTCCCTCATACTGCAAACATGTGCACCCTTCAACATTGTCCTGCCTCCAAAGCTCAGGGAAAATTCCAGAAACAGGAACGGATTGGTGTTCACTTACGGTCGACATTCATGTGTAATTTCTCGCGAATCACTTTGCACACATCGAAGACGAGCGTTGTCGGATCGAACTGCATCGTCTTCTTGGTGCCTTTCTCCTGAGAGACCACGTTCAACGTGATCACGCCCATTTTGGAGGCGTCTACTGCAACTGAAAACTGAAAAATAAAGAGATTTTAGAAACTAATATTTCGAAACAATGCAATGGACGAGAGAATATTCTAAAAGGATTTATGTGAGGAGCGGATTTTTCAAGAATTCAACTCTCGAGACAAAACGATATGGTCACTTTTTAACCTTTGAGCAATAGGTCCACGATCCAATGACATTATGAATGATTTATAGAAGGCTATGAACAAAAGTGCCAGCAGTAGTGATAATTCTGGAAGATATCCTGGGCGGCAGCAGCCTATTGTTACACTAAGAACCGACAGCGCCATTGCGGATGTGCCAGAATGCAAATAGGCACAATAGCGTTCTCTCAGAATAATAATGTACATATGTAAGACAAAATTCTTCTGCACAGATAGAATACTTTAAAATAACATTGTAATAATATTTAAACAAATTTTCAAAAAAAATTATCTTAAATAATTTCTGAAATCTATTTCTTCGAAATTATGACAAGAAAATAGTCAATATGAGTTTTCAAAAGAAAAGATAAAGCCATGTTTTTAAAAAATAGAAAATCATTAAAAGAAAGTAAAAGGGAAAGGTGAGCAGAAATAAGAAGAATGTATGTTTCAAGGTCGAAGATAAAATATTGATGTACCTCTTGAGATTGAATCTCATCAGAAAAATCAATCAGCTTACAAATACGTACTTTTTGAAGATGTTAGGTTCTCCTACTAATTTTTAAACCTCCGTTTCGATGGATTTTGTCCTTTTGAAAGTTTGAAGTTTAGTTACCTGATTCAAGAAGGCAAATGGAACTACGACGGCTAGCAGAAAATAAGAATATCAAAAA